AGCAAATGGCAATGTTTGATCCGTTTGTACACGGGAGGCACGAAATCAGAGACAAATACAAACTCCTAGCGGTGCTGCATTGCATGAGGGCTCCTCCTGCGTTTCGTCTGACTCTATTAAGGGACCCTCGAGCCTCCAGCCCTGCAACAAAACCCTGACATCGTGGGTGTACCGCGCCGCTTTGCACCCGGGCGTCCGCATCACCGGACGGAGCCGCTCCGGCGCGGCGGTGCTGAGGGGAGCCGGGCGGGCAGGGCACGCCGCTCGGGGCGGCCGTCCCGCGGGGAGCGGAGGGGCAGAGCGACCGCCGCGATGCATCGCTCCGGCGATCTCCGCCGGCTCCGGGCGGCTGAGGGGCGGCGGTGGCACCGCCTCGCGACCGCGGGAGGAGAGCGGCCCCGCGCAGCCCCGAGCCCCGCGCCGCCATGCCGCAGGGTCCCCCCCGGGCAGGGGGATGAGGCGGGGGCGGCCCCCGCTTCGGCTCTCGAGGTGCGGGCCGAGCTCGGCTCCCGCCCGGCGCCGCGGGCTCCCCGCTCCCCTGAGGAGCCGTAGGGATGCTGCCGCCCCACCCCCGGCGGAGCTCCGGCCCCGCCGTGTTGCCGACCGCAGCGTCTCCGACCGCCAGGCCCCCCGCCCTGCGGCCCCGCTCCTTACCCTGGCTGACAGCGGCGACGCCGGTCCCCACCCCGGGCCGCGTTGACCGACACGGGGGCAGCCGCAACCGCTCTTTTGTGTGCCTGCCTCGGCGCCACACACCGAGACGGCTGCTGGGCCCGGGAAGCTGCGTGCGAGAATACAGACGGCCGCCCGGGAACCTGCATGGCGCATAGCGCGACCGCCGCGGCGCCTCGGGGAGATGGGGAGGCCCCCGCCTCGCGCCCGCCTCGCTCGCGCATCGCGCCCGCCTCGCCTCAGCCCGTCCGCCTCGTCCCGCCGTGCGGCCGTCCTCGCGCCCCGAAGCGCAGGAGTCGCTCTCCGCTCAGAGGGTGCTGCTCCCGGCGAGGCTGTGAGGAGGTCGTGGAAGACCCCCTCGCGCTGCCCTGCGGGCGGCCAGCGGGCTGTGGCGCGCCCCTGAGCCTGACAGAATGGCACAGAAAGCAGGCGGTGCGGTGATGGGTGCTAACCGGTCGGGTACCGGGACGCTGAGCAGAGCTATCCGCTGGGGCTGCCTGCGGGAGCCCTCAGGCACCATTAGTGCTGGAGGCCTCCAGGCTGGCAACCGCACGCACCCAGTTTGCACACCCAAGAACCCAGCTCTGGTGTGGGCCATCGCATGTTATTTCGTCAGTCTTCCATCCCATTCTGCTGTGAAGTGCGCTGCTGAAAGCCATCCTGCTGTTAAAGGCGTTGGGTTGAGGTCATTTGTGAACTGTTACCTGAGGTGCAACAAAACCAAAAAAATAGAAGTCTGAACACTGCAGTGAGGGTTAGCACTTGGCCTCTAACATTCACATTCCACCCTGGGGGCAGACTTGGAGATTGAATCACAATATTTATCTTCTTGTGCTGATAATACATAAAACCTCCTATATAACAACTAAAAAAAAAGGAAGGGAGCATATAAATAGGAGGGGTTACGACTGTTTACAAGGGTGGATAGTGATAGGACAAGGGGAAATGGTTTTACACTGAGACGGGAGGTTTAGGTTAGATATAAGGAGGAAGTTTTTCACCCAGAGGGTGGTGAAGCACTGGAACAGGTTGCCCAAGGAGGCTGTGGATGCCCCATGCCTGCAGGCATTCAAGGCCAGGGTGGATGTGGCTCTGGGCAGCCTGGGCTGCTGGTTGGTGACCCTGCACACAGCAGGGGGTTGAAACTAGATGATCACTGTGGTGCTTTGCTGCGGTGCTTTGAAAAAGAAGAATCATCATTCTGTGATTCTATGATTCTCCAAGAATGGCATTTCTTATGGTGAGTGACAAACCCAGGTGGTTTCTCAGGCATTTTATCAGAAAGAATGAGATCTTCCCAGAGCAGCCAGGTGATGGTGGTTACTTGGTATACAAAGGAGAATATGTGAGATCAAGTGCTGCTAGGCCAATTATGACAGGACTTGCTCATTAGTATGCAGATTTCAGACTGGAAGCTATTGACTGTAAAAGGTAATCTTTGTAATGACAGCAAAAGTGAAAAGCCGCCTTAATGTAATTATATTGCATTCCGGTCAGCTCGGTTTCGATGTTCATTCTGCATCCCATCCAGCTTGGTACTCTTTGTTTGCCCTGGGGTAGCTGTACCAGTTGCTTAGCACCAACTCAAATTCCATCTACATGCAAAGGTCTTTCATGGAAACCCAGACAATGGATTTTTTTGTATGTTAGACATGATTTCTGTTAAGATTCACACAACAGCCATTTGCTATTAATCTGCTATTTTTTATCTTTTTATCTTTTTTTTTTTTTTTTTTTTTTTTTTTTTTTTTTTTTTTTTTTTCCCCCCTCTGGTACCTTTTCTCATCTGTTGATATCCTGTAGATATCTCTGATTTTATTTCTCCTTTGAAAATAATGAAACTCAGGTATTACATAAACAGTAATGCATATGTGTTTTACACAGAATTACAGGAAGTGATCCTTAGATGAGTAATGCAGACATCTGAAAGATCATGTTTTAATTAACACTATAAATTTTCAAAATTGTTAACTTAATGAATTAAGCTTTATATACATAATGAACTTTTCACTTTCCCCAACAATACATCCAGAGCAGTACTCCCAGTTGGATAGGGCAGCCAGGTGTTTTCTTCATGAAGCTGCTGCAGTTACAAGTATTGTGCAACAGCTGGTCCAAAAGTGAGTAAGATACATTTTTTTAATTCTTAAATTTAAGTTCCTAACAAACAATCTCCCTTCACCTCATTTTAGAGATAGTGACTGAGACAGATGGTTATTATAAATTTAATATACCAAAATGGAAGGCAAAAATAAAGTGCATAATGTCAGTCCAATAATATACTTCTTTGCTAACCTTCAATTTCTGAAAATAATCTTTTCCATACAAACCAGCCACTGATGCAGAAGTGAGATTTTCCTTCCCATTTAATGCACATTTTGTCTGGTCTCTTATGCCTTCAGAGTACTCACAGTTACTTGTTACTTTAGAACTTCTTGTTTCCTTTAAATCATGACTTAGACCTACCTTTATTACTGGGAGAAAATGCAACATAAAAGTGAGTAAAAAGGCTCATTAAACATTTTATGGAATATTTTAGTAGCTATGTACTACTTTCATGGTAACAAAGCATAACAGTTAAAGATCACTTTATATTATATCTAGAAATGTCACAAAGTGATTCAAAATATATCTACTTAAAATGTTTGGAAGAACTCTTCCTAACTTCAGAGTCTGTGCTTTTATATTTAGCAGTTAACAGTGCTCTTAAAAAACGTGAAAGACAGTGCAAATGAACATAAAGCACCAGAGATAGCATAATATTATAGATACTAAAGGACTGTACAATTTTAAGAGGCAAACATTCCTCCTCCACAATAAAATAAATTTACATTTCATAAAACATTCAAACTGCTTTGAAAATGTTTATCAAAGGTGACAGAATTTGTGTTTCCAAGAAGGTGAGATCTTCCATTTTAACATGTTGGCCAATTCCTTTGTAAGTTTGTAAGTTACAAGTAAGTCCTTTATAAGTTGTTAGTTTCCATTTCTACATTAATCTTACATGGTTCAACATTCTGTGATTTAAACTATCAGTTAACTTACTGTTTCTAGTTCAGCTCAGTAACAACATGAGAAGTGCTAAGAATTTGCTTCTGCTTCACAGTCTAATAATTTCACCAAAAAAGACAAATACAGTGATAAAACAAATGAGTATTTACTAAAACAATTAACTCTTTTACTCTTTTCTGTGGGTTCTTGAGTCCAACAAACCCAAGTCCACATCACTAGAGGAAGAATTTCTAATAAGGAGAGAATCAACTGAGCGCTTTCTGTTAGTATCTCAACTTCCCCACATTCCACTGTTTTCCAGTGAGACTTTCTTGATCACACCAATTTCCATTAATCTGCCAAAGCAACACTCCAAATCCAAGGACTGTCCTTAGCAATATGCAGCAATACTTTTGCATGTACATTAAGAAGGATATCCATTCAGGAACTGGTGAGCAGAAGTTTCTCTTGTCGTTCATTCAAAGCTTTCCAAATTGTCAGTCTCACAACTGTTTTAAATGCTGCAACTGCGTCTTCAAAACAGAAGTTATTCCCAAACTTATGATAACTGGGTGAAGATGGTAACAATGAACACAAATCCAAACTGATATACTACTTTTTTTTTTAATTCAAGTGGATTAATTGCAGAATAAACATGATAAAACAAGAGGTTTTTTTATCCTAGAATAAAATGAACTTATTTTAGAACAAGGTGGAGTATGTGCAGGGATGTAGGAAAATAAAAAATCAAGGTTGTGGTTCAGCTAAAAATATTTCTAAGGATTGGGAAAAATAATGAGAGAAACAGAAAGTATTCCATTTCTACAGACGATATCAAAACAAACTTAGAGAAGTATCAGGACAAACACTGCTTGCTTAACATGCACAAATAAACTGAAGTCTGGCCATGAATAAGTCAACAAACTGTGACCGCAGCTCTATGAGAAACTAAGTATACTGGCATGCTCTCTGATGTGAGGAGATTGTACATAACCAAGACTTATGTTTCTTATGCTTTCCAGTGATTCTGTAAGCACTTTTGCATTAGAAAACAGTATTTATAAAGCAAGTGGTTTCCCACTATTTGTACAGGTGTCTCAGAGATCTTCCTATGGATAAAATCTGAAAACAAATATTCACTACCTGACAAAAACAAAAATGCAAGATGCATCTTAAAGTCTGAAATATATCTCAGTCAGGTAATTTTTCAGACATTTTTCTTCCCGTTGCCTGCACATGCAGAATTCATAAACAACAACATTATGATTTATGCTTGTAATTTCCTCACTAGTAATTGTTACGCCAAGGAAAATGTATTTAATGATTTCAGATAGCCATACAATAACATATGGATTTATTTATTGCATGAACCAATCAATCAGTATGAAGCATAGACAGTGAATGGTGAAAACAAAGTACGATGTTCCTTTTCCCTTTATTTTTAGAGGGACTATCTAAGCTTTTACTGTTGTCACTGAGAATTGGGTCTCTGCTTTAAAATGTAGAACAAAATAATGTGGGATGACCTAGAAACTGTACAGTTTCTGTGGTTACAGAAGTAAAGCCACGCGGCAAAAACAGGAGGCAACAGAACAAAATTACTGTTATAAATGCAACTTGGCTTAGGTATACATCTTGAGAATCACAGTGAATTCAAGAAATGTCAACTGATTGTGAAAATCAAATGCGGAACAAAGAAATCTGCAGCACTATCTTACTGCTCAGAAGCTGTACTTAATCCACAGGAACGACAGCGAATTTGTAAAGATTGAATAGCACATCAGTATTCTCAGCACCAGCTCAGTAACTTCACAACTCATTTATTGTGTTATTTATGAATATTGTAGCTCAGGCTTGCTCAAGTTCCACAAGGACTCCATGGCAATCTTTAGGGTGAAGAAAAATCACAGGTTTACCATGTGCACCTATTTTTGGCTCTTCACTCAATATTCGAATCTTTTTTTTCTTCAGTTCTGCCATTGCTGCTTTTATGTCATCAACCTTATGAGAGAAAAATACGGTTTACAGAAATTCATCAGAAAACATCCCCAGACTATGACCTGTTCCTTTTTCTTTTTTTTAAGTCAAACTTAATTATAATAATAGCATTTACCATTAAATTTCAGAGGTTTCCTGCAGTAAAATGTAATTAACAAAAACCTGTCTAAACTATATAATGTGATCTTAAGTTTGATGTCATGACATCAAATTGTTTGAATGTTCCCAAATCTTAAAGGTATCCATCCTTCAAAATAATAAAATGAGCACTCAGTTTAGCCAAGATGACAATCAATAATCTATAATGACCTAGAATTAAAATAATTGCACTGTTTTTTTTCCCAGTTGAGGTGTCTGGACATAACTCCATGAATAAACATTCATAACACTATTGTATGAAAGATGCCGAGTCTTGACTCAGACTAACAGACATCTGTTAATTCCTACTCGTTTGCTGCAGTTTTGTTCATCAGAATTCAGAACTCCCTACAACTCCTCCTACACACAACTACCAGTCAGCTAGGGAAAAAAAAAAAAAAAGAAGTGACTCAAGTGTTATATAAAAAAAGACAGCAAAAGTGTCAGAAGTAGCAGATAGCCCCCTTCAGGTTGCTTCCCCAAGTAGAAAAGCTACTGCAGCTCCTGCAGAGATAGCCAGAAGAGGAACTGTGTCTGGGCTCAGCTGGAATCAATTTCTGTATCCCTAAGGAAGCAATGAGAGCAAACAGTGGAAAGCCTGTGGTTGCAATCACATTACGAGTTTCAGGACTGGATATCCTACCAAACATTCAGCATTCTTTTCATTGCAGTTACTAATTTCAATTGCAGATCATGGTGGAATTACTTAATTTCTTATAAAAATGCTTATTTTGTCCAAAGCAAATTCTCCACCAACACATTTATATAAAATTTTCCTTTGAATAAGGCGGAAGGAAAAAACGAAAAGCAATTTGATAAACTCATCAGACTTCCACCCTAGCACTGAAAGATATTTTTTTAAATTCAGCTTTTTGCAATAAGATTTTTCATGGAAAGTTATTTCTACAACATATTTTTAAATTTCAAAAGAACAACCAAGTGAAATTATTTTTTTTTTGTTTATCTGAAAATTATTTTTGCTTAAATTCAGAAGAGAATATGCCCTGAAATGCTGGGATTTTCATTCTGAAGGGAATAGGAAATTAGGGGAGGAGTGGTTAATTTCTTTTTGTCTATGGTGGTGACCAAATTTGTTTTCGGTTCCATTTAAAAATCAAGCCAACAACTGAACACCTTTTTCCATGCAAACTGATCTATAACCTTCCATTTGAATTTATATGGAGACCGTTAATATAGGAGACTTTGAACAATCATGATCTGATTTATTTATTTATTTATTTATTTATTTATTTATTTGCTTAGAGAATCTAGCAGTAAGTTCTAAGACTTCACTTTGGAGATTCTGGCTGTAGGTAGTAGTCCTTCATATGTTTCATCAAACTTATCTGTTCCATTATGACTCCTGGTTCTCCTGGCCTACTATATCCAGCTACATGTTTTCTTCTTTAATACAACACTTCTGCATTTTTCAATACAAGATAACTAGCGTGTCCCATTCTTCACAGTTTTCATAATTAACAGTATGTTTTCCCTTGACAACTGTCTTTGGTTTGTCTTCAACAAGAAAGATCCTATCTCTACAGAATGGAGAACTAGACAGAACAATTTCAGATGGTAATAACATTTCTTAAAACTTCTTCAGAAGGATTACATTTACTTGAAACTCTAGGGAGGTTTTTGCTGAAAAGTGCCTACATCTTCTTTCTCTGGTACCTATAACTTAGCACTGCTGGCCCTACAGAGGGCTTGAGCTTTTCTCTGGTCTTATTCCAAATCACTTCTTTCTTCTATAGTCCCCATTTCCTAGGTTCACCTTCATGTTTCTAAAACAGAATGGTCTTTACAGATGAAGTTGGAAAGCCATTTCACTCACATTGGGCATCCCTTTATTTATTTATAACTCTGAGCGAAATAATACAGTTTGCAAACAGTATTCAAATATGGAAAGCATTAAAAACAGGCAGCAATGTGGAATTTTGCATCCAATGTTTGCGCTAAAATATGAATATACTACATAAGTTGACTACTTATATAGTTGACTACCTTTATACTGCATTGCTTCCAAACAGGACAGAAGAAACTCTACAGACTTTGCTGATGTTTGGTCATAGTGACCAATGGTCTTTTTTGACTTCTTTATACAAGTATCAATGACATATCAAACAGCAAGAAACTACTGAAAATCTAAACTATGCTTCAGCTTAAATTTACAACTGCATCTTTTACCAGTGTATATCAGGAAGTTCCAATGTCAAGAAGTTACCACCTGTCAAGTACCCTTAACAAGCCATTAGGCTTGTCTACCTTCCACACTGGCTATAGATTAACAACACATAATATAATTTTTACAGCATACAGGAGGAAAACTTCATGACGTAATTTAAGGAATGGAACTCTGGTTTCCAAAACAGAAAAAAGCCATGTTTAAGACTTCCATCTCTACAGCAGGAATTTTCACAAATAAGACAGCCTTATATGTTTGTTCCTTACACATTTTAAGCCTACGGAAAAAACAAATTCAAACTTTATATTTCTATTTATATATTATTTTAAATACCTCAATGCAGATATGATGCATTCCTCCAGTCTTATTCTTTTGCAGAAAGCTTGCAATGGGACTTTTCTCTCCTAAAGGGTGTAGAAGTTCCAGCTTTGTATTTCCCAGCTCCACAAAAACAGTGTAGACACCATGTTCAGGAAGAGCAACAGTCTCGCTCACCCGTGCTCCTAGCACATCTTTGTACAAGGACTGAGCTTTCTCCAGATCAGGCACTGCAATTGCTACATGATTAAGTCGGCCCAATTTCCACAAACAGCTTGGAATGTTTTGAGAAACAGAATTTGATGATAATAAAGTTCGTACTGTTGGAACTGAAGTCTGCAGTCTGGTCAGAAGCCCTGAAAAAAAAGGGAATAGCATCAGTATGATGCTTCTGAGAAAGCAGAGGTATTGCTCTTTGACCTTTTAAGAGACCTGCATAACTCCTTGTTGTCAGCAAACTACTGTGGAATGTAGACTGTAGACAAAGACCAAGGAAAGGAAAGAATTATTCCGTAGAACTCTCAGCTCAAGGGAAATCCTTTTTTCAGAGACTAATTATTCAGAAGTGTTCTAAATGCTTATATATGCTTGTTAAAAGTAGGAATATGTGGCCAAATACAGCAGTCAGCTGTATAATGTACTTAAAAGTTGCTTCTGAATTTTTCAGAGCTTTTTATAAAACACAGAAAGAAATAAGGACATACCTACACATGTAGAAATTAAAGCAAGCAAACAAGAACAACAACAAAAACCTAGGACAGAACTGATACTGCAAGACCCAAAAGAAAGATAAAAGACTTGAGGTTTTATCTGTTAGAACTAACTCCAGCAAGGAAAGAAATGTCACGTTGTATTTGAGGCTTGAGGGATGCTACCATCTCCTCTCCTGTCTTTCATTTCCTATTTTCTCTTTCTCCAATCATTATTCTTTAACCACTCTTACTTTTCTCATGTGTCATACAGGTCTTTCACTTAGTTTCACTGGCACGTTTCAAGATGTTTACAAATAATTTCTCTTCTAAGTACAATGAATAATACCATGCCCTACTGAAAAGTAATGATTCAGAAGATTAAAACGATATTTGCTTTTTCAATGCAACTAGTGCCACTGGCTTCAGCATGACTTAAAAATACCATTTGTCTCATCGTAAATGAAAAGGTAATGAAAAACAAAACATACTGAATGACAGCATGACACAAAGGCCAGGGCTAACATCTAGATGTAGATAAAAGATGGAGAAACCGTAAAGGAACAAAGTACAATGAAAAACTGCTTAGATGTCTATAAAACTCTTCAGACTGCTCTGACAAGACAGTACTGAATGTTGTACTATGTCTTATTTCTGTTCTGATCAAATAGTTCAAAAGTTGGGTTTTTTTTAATCTGAAAAAAAATAAAAAGAATTAGAACAATTACAAATAAGTATCAGTCTGTTGAATTTGGAGAGATGGGAGGGAAACGTTACTCTTATTGGTTACATCTAGCACTGCAATTAGAATTAAATGAAAGGATATATTCAGAAAGGCAGCATTTGAATTTCATGCCAGTTTGCTTTAGGCCATGTCAGAGTTCCCAGTGCCTCAAGGCCAAGCTAGAGGCATCTCAGCATTTGTCTTTGATGCCTTCTTAGCTGCAAATTCACAGATGTGCCATTTTGCTAAGAGATCGTGCCAAGGATGCACTGAGATTCTGAATGCTTTCCAATACACTTAGGATAGACTGGCTTACATTTTTCAGGCTCTTTGTTCTCTGGAAAGGTACTGGTCCCTGTAAGGTACAGCAGGAGCTGTAATTAATCAGCTGGTTTCACAGTAGGAAACAGAAGTACCGTTTTGCTGGAAGACTACAGCTATCAATTCATTTTACTTCACAAACAAGAATGATGCAGTACTGAGACATATATGTGTGTGTGCACTTACGTATAAGCTTTAACAATATGCAAAATTTACATATTTTCAATACTTACTACCATAAAAGTAAGCATATTCAGAATATTTTGATAGTAAATTAGCATCCTACACTAAGTGCTTTCATAAGCTTGCTCAGCTCTCCAAGTAAGCACTCTGCTGTAATTCTTGCCAGCCTTTCACACAGTACATCCTGTCATCACTTTCATCTGAGCCAGAAGTTCTGGAAAATTCTTTTTTGCTTTTGTTACCTTTAGGTTACAATAGTGATACTATAGTAACTCAATATTTCAAAGTACTTTTCAGCTTTTTATTTACATATTTATTTACATATTAAAACAAAATCTACCAGCAACTTCTATGCAGAAGAAAATTTTTTGTTTCTCAAATATCTATGCAGAAAGTATTTTGCAGATACAGTTGTTATCTAAATGGAAATGTGTCTGGAGTGAACAAAGCAGTTGCCTGAGGAAGCAGTAGCATGCAATGCTCTATAACATACAAAACAAAACATGCACCTTCTAGCTGGTATAATCAGAGGAATGGATAATTAACTAGACTTGAGTTTAACCAGGTTACCAGAGTAAATAATGCATTTTAAAAAAAGTCAAATACTCTTTTCAATCTACCTAAGATTAACAGTTGTTTCCTGTCATCACTTTTTAAGATCTGATTCAATTTTTGGTGAAGCAAGAGAAATTTTCCCTTACAGAAAGTCAGTATTTTCCAAAAGAGAAAAAAGATGTGAAATTACTACTTGCTATGCTATTTCTGATGTTTTCTAAGCAATTTTCTTATTTAATTCCTGTTTCCAAGTACTAATATGCCACAATTGAGTGGAAATAATAATAACGTAGATTTTCAGGCAGTCATGACCAGTAGGAAAAGCTTCAATGTTTCTCAGTCATCTTGATATCTCCCATCTGTAATTCTTGCTGTACTTCACCCAGGGCATAAGATTAGCATAAGATTACATGGCTATTATGATTAAATTTGCATTTTTTGGCAAAAATTAGAGAGGTAGACTGTTACTTGGCTATTACTGAAGCAAGAGTAAAGGAAATAAAGAGTGTTATTTCTTTTGGTTTCTACTCAAGAAAACACTTGATTTTTGTAGTATTTTCTGGACTGATAATGGAGTGAAAAAGTTAACACTAATCCAAAGATTCTTGTGAAGTCAAAACATATACAAAATGTATATTATGCATCAACCCACTTCCTCCTCCTAAGAACTCTTTTTTTTTCAGTATGGACAGAGGACATTTTTAGAGTTGTGAAGACGTATGACTTTATCCTGACTCTAGTCATATGCATGTTTTAATTCCAAAAGGATCAGTATGAACTGGCTGAGAATAAACAAACAGCATTTGTATTTTTCTGGCATTATATAGATTAGTACCCATATAGTTACTAGTTACTTGAAATTCTACTCTTTATTCATCTTCATGGTTTTGGCCTCATTTTCATGCTAAGAAGTAGCACACCCAATAATCAAAGGATGACCCTGCAGTGAAAAAGAAAGCTTTCCAGCAACTTCAGAATGAAACTCCATCACTTTCATGTTTCAGTGAGTTATGCATAAATCACAAAGCTAGTCCTTTGTTCAGAGAGATGCGGTTACATTCTTCAAACAAAAAAGCATTCATCCAATAACTTAAGAGAATTACTCAAATAAATCTGAACTTCATCCAATGATAAAAAATAAGACTTTGTTCCTTTTGAAACCAATGGAGACTGCTACTGAAGTACCTATCCAATCATCTGTCCCTCTTTGACAAACTTGCATGTGCAGACCAAATTCACACGTGCAGTTTCTTCTCCTACTATGTATGTAATTTACCCTACTGTTCTTTTTAAATATGTAATTTTTCAGGCACTGATAACCCAAGCTGAATTTTTTAAGGCATCTTGTCCTTTAGGGAAGATTCAGCACACCCTGCCCTCCTATATGATTACTGTTTTTAGCTTTGGCATTACTGTGGAATGTATGTTACCATGTTCAGCTTCACTTGAAGAATATTTTTAATGTATCTATTTGGGTTTTATTTTTTTAATTGTTAAATATCTGAGTGCTGGTATTATGTGCATCAAGAATTTAAACGTGTGCAATTGTCCTGATAGAGGCATAAAATGGCATTCTGCAAATGCTGACTCATAGGCCTGTTGCCCCTGATGGCGGCCGTTTTTGTTGACTTACATGGTGAGGTAAATAAATACAAGCAAAATCCTACTCAGTGCAGCAGTGCTCTCTGTAGGAGTTGCAGAGCTGTGGGCCACACTGAGAAGATCCTTCTCACTGGGCACTGCTCTATGGCTCGGTTTGACATTGAGAAAAACTCCCAAGCGCAAAGACAGTGTTGTCACTATGCGGAGCTGGGCATAGCAGGGCTGTGTATACTGTGTATAAGCTCTCTGGAGCAAATGGAAAAAGGGCACAGTTTGTCCCTTTTAAATCCCAGGAGTTTCGAGGTGCTGTTCACATCTTGGAAGCTGCCAGCAAGGCCTGGACCATCCTTAGCACTGCTCTGTTTGTGCCAGAGGTACTTTTGGGATCAGAAGGGCTCCATAGTTCTGAAGGAGCACCAGACTGCACCAAGTCTTATTCACTTTTCCCCTGCAGTCAGTGGCAGTAAGGCAGTGCGGTGAGGATACAGTGAGGGCAATCTGCCATCGCTGTTAGGAGAGGGAACAGATCAAGTAATTATTATAGTGAATGGGAAATAATTTTGCATTTGATTTCTAAGTTCCATTTTAAAGGCAAGCTTCTCTTTGCTTCTCTACCCTGGTGCTCTAAGTAGGCGGTTTGCTGCGTAGGTTTATGCTGAGACAGGTAACGCCGTCCGTATCAGACCTTTTTAAAACCAATCCCGTAGGTCGCTCAGCAAGCAGCAGGCCCGCAAAGCTACCAAAAGAGGCCGCGGGCGGCTCTGCGCCCAGGGCAGGCAGAGGTGGCGGTACCCGCACAGCCCCGCTCCCGCTCCCAGCCCGGCTCCCGCCAAGCGCCCACGCCTGGCGCCGCTCCCGCTCTCAGCAGCCCCGCCGCGTTCGGCCCCCCGTTACCGGCCGCCGCGCGCCCCAGGGAGGCCGCCATGTCGCCGCCCCACCGCTCGCAGCCCGACCGGCCGCACGCAGGCGGGGCCGGGCCGCCCTCCGCCGTCACCGCCACCGCCCCCCGTCCGGTGGTGGTGCCGAGCGGAGCCCTCGGGCGCAGTGACGGCGCAGAGCTGCGCGCCCATTCGGGCGTCACGGTGCGCGCCCGGCACGGCGGCGTGGTGCCGCGGCCCCAGGGGCTGCGCGGGCGCCTTGCCTGGCGTTGTGGTGTGAACGAGCGGGCCGGATCGGTGCTTGAGGCACAAGGCTTTGCGAGCGGCTGTGACACATCCTAGGCACGTGAACTGTGCTGTACCCAGTGATAAATATCTCCGTAATTAACAGTGTATATCAGCATCGCCGCTCGGACACGGGGACTTCTGAGTGCTCAGTGCCAGCGGGAGGACGTGGGTTCGTGCGGGGCTCCCGCCGCCGAGCAGCCGGGGGCTGACCGCCTCCTGCCGCTGCGCCTGGAGAGGCCGCGAGGGCGGAACGTTGGTGTGCGGAACGGCGGTGCCGGCTGCTGGAGCCGCTCGGAGCTTTTGGCGAGTGCTCGGGGGCGGTGCCGGGCAGCTGCACGTGAGGGCGATGGCGGCCACGGCTGGGCTGGAGAGGTGCCTCCGCGTGGCGGGTGCTGCTGCGGCGCGGCCTGAACGCTTCCTCAGGTACCTCAGGCGCGGGGCTCGTTGCTCGCTGCTCGCTGCTGGGCTTCATGGCGGCCCGACGGGGTTTCTGGTGCCGCAGAGCCGCGTTCTGCCGGGCCCTGCTGGTGCGACGTCCCGGACCTTTCCTCAGCTGTCGGGATGTCCGTTTCTTCCTTCTGTGTTTCGGCGCTGGAGAAACTGGAATGGCTGCCCGAGGATGAATACTGAGGAATGAGACAGCAGAGAGATGGTTGTTGTTTTGAGTCTGGGGATCTTGGGTGTTTGGTGCTGTACTGCCTCGAAACTTGTGGGTTGCTTACATGTGGTCAGAATACAGTAAAGTGCGGGTGCGGAAGGGGGGAACGTGCAGTAAAGAGACTTAACTACAGCGTCTGTATTGCTGGGAATGCTCGATATGGTTAACTCAGAAGCCGTGGATGAATGAAAACGAGTGAGTTCTGCAAACTAGAAGTGTGTGGGGAGGAACAAAAAGACAACACCTGCTGTGCTTTTTAAGGTTCTTATTTTTTTTCTTACTCCCAGTGTGCAGGATGAGCTGGCTGCTGACTTCAGAACGTTAACAAAGACTCTTTATGATTTAAATAAAGCTCTTGGAAGCAGTGTAGTTCGTGGAAGTCCTCTCAAAGAGCTGGTGATAGAGAACTTTGATGAAGAACAGATCTGGCAACAACTAGAGCTCCAGAATAATGCGGTCCTTGATGTCTTCAAGAAATCTGTTGCACAGTGTACCAATGATAAAGACCTTTGCCTGATCTCTGACCAGGAAGATGACGGCTCTGATGCAGAAGCCAGCAGTGATAGTGAAGTGGAAGACATGCTAGAAGCAGAAACTGAACAGGAGAATGTCTATACAGAACATAAAACTGAAGTTAAAGAGAAGAAAAGTAAACCCAGAGAAAGCATAGTAGAGAAATACAGTGATGATGATTCTGATGTTGACTTTGATATTGAAGCACTAGAGCAAGAAACTAAAACAGCCAAGAAAACAGCAGTGAGAAAAACAGGAAGAACGTCTATAGTGGATGACAAATTCTTCAAGCTGGCTGAGATGGAAGCTTTTCTAGAACATGTGGAGAAGGAAAATGGGGAGAGGGAGGAGGAGGATGATGATGATATCGACTATTTTGAAGACATTATCTCAGATGATGAGGAAGAAGAGTTTGAAGAAACTAAAGTCAAAGTAAGAATATCAGTAACATAATTCTCTGAATTTTTTTTTTTTTTTGTAAATTAGGGTCTGGTATCTGGTAGGGTGACTAAATTGTTGAGCTCGAAGTCGAAATTGCCAAGTTAGATTTGATTAAATGACTAATGATTGTATCTGACGCTGTACTTTAATAATGTACTCGACTTCCATCTCTGTAACAAAATATGCTGATTTAGAAAAACGTACCATCTTCCTATTCCAGTTTCTCTTTAGACCTATCTTGTGTTTCTGCATGAAGTAAGGGCTAGGAAGTCTTGCGGTAAGAAATTTGTGACCTTGCCTAATTGCAGAATACCTGACCCAGCAAACAAGGAAGCATTGCTCATACTGACCTGTGGTGATAAGAGATCTCCACGGTGACTGGTGCAAAGCCAGAGCAAAGGGGGTTTGGCAACTTCTTTTTTCAGGGGCATGGCTTTGTAACTCATTTTGCTGAATTGCTGTGTGTTTGTTTTGAAAATAAGTCTTATTAGCATTACCCGAGATTATTGCTACAAAGAATGCCCAAGATATAAGGGAATAAATACCTGTGAATAATCAGCAATATCTATTTGTCTCTGACTTTTGTATATGTTGAAATAAGAAAGTCAGAATGTCTTGGCTATTTCTATAAGAGGTTATACTGAGATTCTCTAAGTTACTATGTCAGTAAGTTACAGGAGTAGTGCTGTTCTCCAGGTGTTGAAGGCTGTTAACAGGTTTTTCTATCTCATGTTTTTAGCCACTTAAAAGTTCTAGAGATCTAACATATAAAGACTTCTTTGATCCTGTTGATGACAATGATGACTTAGCTAATGATGCTGAAGACTATGAGAATGAAGAAGCCGATAGTGCTATTGAAAAGGAGAATGAAGAAAAAAGCATGTCTGAGTAAGTATATGCATTATTTGCAGTTAAAATGCTCTTGCAATTTTACACTAAATGTGCCACTCTGTTGAAGTAGAAAATGAAGTGTGAATTCTAGGTTCTCTTTATTCACCATTTGCCATTTTGTTTTCTGCTGTGTCATTTTGGATTGTATTATCATCTTAGAAAGTATTTTACTCCTCTCCTGAGTGTTTCTTGGTATTTATTTCACTAAATCAGATAAAAGCCATAACTTCAGCTATTGAAAGTTGGTTTTAATGTATGGAAGTTTCCCTAGTGTTTCTGCCTTCATTGAAAGTCTATTGTAGTTCTTAAGTGTGAGTTAGTCATGCTAGGTTAAACTGCCAGGTAGCGAATGAAATATCTTCATGTAAAAGTGGTGACTTTTAAACTTCTTCTACTTTAGCATGCATTGTATTTTGATTTTACAGGGCTGAGGATATTAATGAAGCAATCATGGAAAATATGAGAAAGAAAAAAGTTTCTTTTAGTTTGCCAGATGACAGTGAAACAGAAGATGTTACTGATGTGCAATTAGAGAGGGGTATTGATCTCAGTGAGGTTAAGTCATCTTTTGAGAAGAGACAGGAAAAGGTAATTATTTTATTTTTCTAATACTTTGAAACTGTGGCCATTGGTTTTTATTGATTGCTGAAGAAGTTAGAGAAACACGAAGAGGCCGCTTGCAACTTAAAGTGTTTTATGTAATCTGATGTACGTATAGAGTTATATGTTCTCACATTTGTATGTGAGTAGGTATTGAAAGTACCTGAAATGGTTATTTCTTTCTTTGAGTTTACTTGTGAACTGTTTTTAACTTCTTAGGAAATTTGTTTTCCAGATGAGTGAAAAAATAAAAAGTTTAGAAGAAGAGTTGTTGGAGGAGAAACCTTGGCAGCTTAAAGGGGAAGTGAGTGGACATAAGAGACCTGAAAATAGCCTTTTGGAGGAAACAGTACTCTTTGATCATGCAGTCCGAATGGGTGAGCAATGAAGGGTGGCTTTCTTGAAGGCATGTTGCCCTGTCACATTGGATTGTCTTCTCTCTAAGCATGCTGATAGCACCCTTGACTCAAGAGTAGGGTAACAAGAACAACGGTTAAACATTTCAGCACTTTTCTGAGGCTGTGCACTTTCATTCTGGAAAATACAGGATACAACAATTTTATTGGTTCAAGTTTAACTTGCTTGAATGTTCCTTAATATAGTGGCAGACTTAATTGCTTATGAGTCCCACATAATATGATTCTCCTTCCCATTCATATCTCTCTGCAGTAGAAGAGAACAGTGTTATTTACTTAGCTTCACCTATCAACAAAAATCTCACACTACTACGTTTTTATTGAGGACTTGCTTTCATTTTTTATTCCTCATAACAAAAAGTATGCCTTGCTGCAGAAACATCAGTGTTTTCTTTTTCTCAGCTCCTGTGATCACAGAAGAAACTACTTTTCAACTTGAAGATATCATCAAGCAGAGAATATTGGATGAGGTTAATATCTTGCTTGCTCTTCAATAAAAGTATATATTGGAAGGATATTTAAGTACTTAAGGAAATTACACACTTACTATTGATTATACTATTTTTTGCCCTGATCCACTGAAAATAAGCACGCAAACTTGAGCTATACATCTTCTATTACATTTACAAGTGAGAGCGTGAACTTCCAGAGGTTTTGGGGAGCCATGAACTTGTTAATATATCAGATAAGTTCATGTTCTAAATAAGCTGTTGCATGTATTGGTCTGTACTAGCATTTGATCATTAATTTATCACCTTCTCAGGCGTGGGATGATGTAGTTCCAAAAGAAAAACCAAAAGAGGATGCCTTTGAATACAAGAAACGTATTACTTTGGATCATGAAAAGAGTAAATTGAGTCTGGCTGAGATCTATGAGCAAGAATACTTGAAACTTCACCAGGTGACATAAACAATGCTTTTTCTGTTGGTTTGAAGTTTTCATATGTAAATGTGTGTATTTACTTGTATGCTGCTACCTGTCTTTGCCTTTGTGGAAATACCTCAGTATTTCTTAGTGTTCATAGGTGGAATAGCGGTGAATTGCATACTGTGTTATCAATCTTGCTAAAGTAAAATTGTTTTAGGAATGATGTTGCAATAACATTGCATTATTAATGCAGCAAAAAACAGAAGAAGAAGAAAATCCTGAGCACAAAGAAATTCAGGAGATGATGGATTCGCTGTTCCTAAAACTGGATGCGCTTTGTAATTTCCACTTCACACCCAAACCAGTATGTACTTCTGTTTCAAAATTACTCTTTTTCTTCCTTTTTATTCATTCCCAAACAGGAGATGTTCCATTTTCCAAGTATATTTTTAAGTGAACATAAAACTTGTTCTGTTTTCATGTTAGGTACATTAGATAATTGGTTGTAAACAAAACCAAAAACAAATACCTAGTATATCCAGTTACCTATAAACTCCTGTGAAATCGTGTGCTCAGTCTTGAATGTTTCCTTATTTTCTAGCCTGTGCCAGAAGTTAAAATAGTGTCAAACCTGCCGGCTATAAGCATGGAAGAAGTAGCACCTGTTGCTGTTAGCGATGCTGCTCTCTTAGCACCAGAGGAGATCAAGGTAATAAAAATCCTCACTTT